AAAAAAAAAAAAAAGAACGTATGACCACAATCTAATCATTAGAAAGTTATGGACACGCTCAACTAAGGGACATTCTGTGAAATAACAGACTAAGAAGCTGTTTCCAATTTGAGCAGATTAAGAAAATAAGCCAACTAAATCCAGTGTGGAATTCTGGATTAAACGCTGGACTACAAACAAAAACTGTGTGAGTTTCTAAACAAATTTGAATAATCTGTGTGATTAGCTAATAGCATTGTATCATTGTTAATTTTATGTCTTTGATAGCTGCACTATGGTTATATAAGAAGTTAGTATTAGAAGTTAGCCTCTTCTAATATTAATAAAAGTTTACAGATTCCACATGACTACACTTGCAACTATTTGATAAGTTTAAATTACTTCAAAATAAAAAATTAATAGAAAAGAAGGTGTTTTGAGATTGCCAACATTTACTAGATATAACTAAATTCAGCCTTTATGAAAAGACCTAGGCAGAGAAGGGACAACTTTCCAGCTTATGTAGAGTACTCATAAAGTATCTGCTTTGGGCAGCATTGAAACTTATTGACTTGACACAAAGAGTTACCAGCCAACTGTAGCCTCCTAAATCTGAGGAATTACAACCCAAGATAGTGAAAGCATTTGAAAATGAGAGCGGTGGATTGGGGTTTTCATTGATGTCTAGAAATTGTAGACAGATACCTATGAATTCTAACATCTAGAAATTATAGACAGATACCTGCAAATTCTAATGTCTAGAAATTATAGACAGATACCTATGAATTCTAATTTCAAAACTGGAATGACAAGACAAAGGACTGTACACACCATTCTTCTATAGAACATTCTTCTATAGGTTACTGAAAGAGTCCTTTTGTAATGTATAGAAGTATCAGTAGACTCTATGAACTTTGTATATTATAAATCATATTTGACTCAATTTTCTTCCTTCTTGGTGAAAGTTATTAACTGTAAAGTTAATACAGAGGTAATGGACAGCTGGACCCGAGTAACATAACTAGGAAATTCTATTGTGATATTTTGGGGGAATAAAGAGAAAATACTGGCAGAACACCTGAATAATCACATTTTTTTTTGGTTAGTTTAATTACCAATCTCCGTAATACAGTAAATGGGTCAGTATCATCCTGGAAGAAATTTCAAAGGGCTTTATTCTCAGCCAAGTTGTATGAACAGAAAATTCATCAATGACATGTTGGACAGAAATTCAATGATGCAGTGAGCACCTGCCAAAATCACAAAACCTCTCCGCCGCATGATTCCCAGTCTAAGAAGCACAGCTTACTGAAAAGAGACAAGTGTTTGATGCAAGGACAGCCACTTCTATGCTACCAAGGACTGGCCAAACCAGTGAGGTTGCTTCTCCTAGCCCGGAAATTTGACAATGTTAAGTCGATTATTCTCAGCACCTCTTCCTTCTTCTTTACTCACCTAACCTGACCATGTATATCCCTGGACTTGCAGATTAAATTATTACAGCACCCCCAAGCCCCAGGCACACATGCTCCTGCGTATCTGTGCACATGGAGTCCTCCCATGATATGGATTCATCTTATCATCAACCAGTAAGAACACACAAAATCTTTGTCATCTGTACATGATACTGCAACTTATTGAGATAAAATAAATATAGACATTTAAAAAGTTTTATTCTAACAAGTTGGTACTCTGTAATTTTGAGAATTTAAAAAATTTACCTGCTAAAATATGGAGTGGTAAGAATGATCTGACTTTACTACCCCTTGATTAACTTAGGTAGCTTGTACTCCTAAGGGGCGACCTTTCGAGTAAGTGGCCTACAGGAATAATAACAATGAGAACAAACTTACCGACACTCGGGTAACCAGGCGTGGAAGGGTCTCCTCCTGGGTTCAGTGACACCATGAAGGCATCGTGGCTAAGATTTGCAGTCTTTGGTAAATCACAAGGGTCAATATATAGAAGGACGCCTCCAAATCCAGCCTTTTCCAATAAGGAAATCTAAAAGGGGGGAACAGTCTATTAAAATATTATCACACTCATTAACGTTCATCTGCTGCCATTTTGTGACTGTGGCTATATATTTTTATAACTATATATTTTTGTAACTAGGAAGACATTTCATCTTTACTAATAGGAAATAGGAAGACATTTTTGTAACTAGGAAGACATTTCACATTTACTAATCACCAAGTCCTGTGAGAGGGTTGTTCTCCCGGCGCTCCATCTCTACTCTGTCTAGGCAGCATTCCCTTATTGTTTAGATTTCATTTCAGTTGTCTGTTCGTGGAACTCTTCACTCTGTTTTTTAATTGTTTAAATAGATTTGAACTTTCTACTTTTTGGAATTAACAGACGCTCTACCATACACAAGGTTCTGCTTTTAAAAGGAGAGTTGTTCTGACCACTCCTGCGTCCTTCCTTAAAGCAGAAATCACCTGCAATATGGAGACCTATTTCTCCCCTGGCTGAGGCTGTCGGACCAGTTGTTCCAACGTTGAAAGACTTTCACACTGTTGGGAAAGTAGCCACTGTCCCCAACCTCCCGAGGGCCCTCAGTGCACCATCCGTCTTAGTCTCTGCCCAGGATGCCCCAGCAGGACCTTCCAGACACAGCAACCGAGGTGTTACATATAACCGAGCCAGGGCCCCTTCTCCATGACCAGATCAGCCCCCGCTCCGTGCCTGTAATTACATGTTCTGAAAATAGCCGCTGTTTGCCTCGTTTGAAACATACTTAATATAAAGATTCCTTTCTGCTCTTTAGTAAAGACACAACAGATAAATATGATGAGGCAGATGAATTCGACAACATCCCATGTTTCTCTCTAACTTTTTAAAGAGCTTGTTCATACAGTATTAGTTTTCTCAGTGTGAACTGCCTGACATGAGAAATAAGAATCCTGATTAGCGAATTCTTTTTTTTTTCTGATTTGCTAATTCTGTTCCCAGTGGGAGGTAATAAAGGTCATAATGAACACAGCTAGTTACTGCCCTTTGTGCAGCTCTAGTTACACCTGTATTTCGCTTCCCAATTGCTTCCTATGTTGTTGATTGGGGTTTGTACACTGAGCAAGGCCGCAGCTTGCGTCGCTGGCCAGCCCTGGCCTGCCCACTCCATGAGGGCAGGGACCACGTTTATCTTCTCTACCAAGCGCTCTACCTTGCTCTTAGCGGGCACAGAGGAGGCATTCAAGAGTATTACTGAGTCAGATCCCTAGACACAGAAAGATACAAAGAAAAAAAAAGTCCAGTTATCCTCTCTATCAAGATGTGGTTAATGCTAACATGTTGGAGTGTCTGGACAGTTTACTGGGGCTTATGCCACACACTTACACAGTAAGCCCTTATCATAAGTGCTATTTTGCAATTTCTTTTCATTCACTGATAAACATTTATTTGTCTGTGTTGATGCCTACATTTCTATGTTATTTTAATAGCTGTATACTGTTACATATATAATATATACACAATAAAAAAGCCCATAAATGCTATTTAACCAATGACTGCTGATCATAGACATTATTTTTCATTTTCAAACTATTATATTGCAATGAACTTCCTCATAGCTAAATCCATCCAAATATATCATAAAATATATTCCATAGGTAAGAACTTCTGGGTCAAAGTACTCCCTTTTGAATGCTTTATGGTAAGCAGTCTATTTTCCCTTCAGGAAGCTACTGAACAAGTTATATTCTTTTTTTTTTTTTTTTTTATTTTGCAGTTTTGGCAGGGGCTGGGCTTGAACCCACCACCCCTGTATATGGGGCTAAGGAAAAATCCCTATTCCTTCAGCCACAGGTGCCGCCAGAACAAATTATATTCTTATCAGCTACATATGGGAACATTCATTCCCTTTCACTCTCAACAACATTGATGTATTATTTTAAAGATGTATTTACTAATACAGCTAAAAATTTTATCAAAATAAATATTTTAATTACAAGTCAAGTTACATATATTTCTGCATGATTTTGGCCACATTTCTTTTAAAAATGCCTTATTTGTAAAAAACTACTTTTTTAAAATATTTTTTATTATTATTAAATCATAACACTATACATTAATACTATCATGGGGTAGAGTGTAACATTTCTGTATATAATTTAAAGTACTTTCACCCAACTGGTTAACATAGCCTTCATGTCCTTTTCTTAGTTATTGTGTTAAGACATTTATATTCTACATTTAGAGAGATTCACATGTACCCTTATGGGATGAACCATTGGCGTGATCCCACCAATCACCCTCCCTCCACCCACCCTCACCCTCCCCTGCCCTCCCTCTCCCCATTTTCCTGGGCTAAAATTGGGTTATAGCTTTTCTATGAAAGCTATAAATTAGTTTCATAGTAGGGCTGAGTACATTGGATACTTTTCTTTCCATTCTTGGGATATTTTGCTAAGAAGAATATTTTCCAGCTCCATCCATGTAAACATGAAGGAAGTAAAGTCTCTATCTTTCTTTATGGCTGCATAGTATTCCATGGTGTACATATACCACAGTTTATTGATCTATTCGTGGATCGATGGGCTCTTGGGCTTCTTCCATGACCTGGCAATTATGAATTGAGCTGCAATGAAAATTCTGACACAGATATCTTTATTGTAGTGTGATTTTTCATCTTCTGGATATATACCTAATAGAGGAATTATAGGATCAAATGGCAGGACTATTTTTAGTTCTTTAAGTGTTCTTCAGATGTCTTTCCAAAAGGAATGTATTAGTTTGCAATCCCACCAGCAGTGTAGAAGTGTTCCCTTTTCTCCACATCCACACCAGCATCTGTGATTTTGGGATTTTGTGATATGGGCTAATCTTACTGGTATTAAATGATATCTCAAAGTAGTTTTGATTTGCATTTCTCTGATGATTAAGGATGGTGAGCATTTTTTCATATGTTTGTAGGCCATGTACCTGTCTTCTTCAGAGAAATTTCTCTTCAAGTCCCTTGCCCACCCTGAGAGGGGATGACTTGTTCTTCTTTTGCTAATATATTTGAGTTCTCTGTGGATTCTGATTATTAAACCTTTGTTGGAGACATAACCAGCAAATATCTTCTCCCATTCTGAGGGCTGTCTGCTTGCTTTACTTACTGTGCTTTTGGCTGTGCAGAAGCTTTTTAATACTTTGAAAATTCCTGGACTATTTGTCCATTTCCAATTTTATATTGGGTATCACTTTTGTGCAGGTAAAATGCAGGGATCAAAGATAAGTTTGATAAGATCCCTACTCTTAGGAAGTTCAGTTTACCAATGGAAGGACTAAAAATTTTCATCTTGAGTGCTAACTCTGATTAAATGGCAAAGAGTGGCTGCCTAGGGAAGGTCTGCAAGGCCAAGTTCAGGCTCACTGCCAGTGGTCCTGTGAGTGACGTATGTCACCACCACAAGACAGGGTCGTGCTGAGCCACACTTTTTTTTTTTTTTTTTTTGCTGACCCTGCTTTAGTAGGATAGTCAAAATGTCCTCAAAAATCCTCTCTAAAGGTCAGTATAGTAACTAATCATTTGGCTGTTAAAGTTCATGAAACCTACTCTTTTAGATTTATCTTAGTCAAAAATAACATGCTAGAGGTGCCATACTCTGGCACATCCTCTCTCCTGAGGATATTAGTAGTACATCGTGAATGCTTTTACAACAAGTATATAACATGATATTTTCCTATAGTCAATGGGCTATAAAGAAACACTGGGGTTTGGTCATGTACTATTTGAAAACATCTCCACTCTGCTATTCCCCGGAAGGGATACCCAGCATGCAGCTTGGCTCCCACCTCCATCCTCTGCTTAGAATGTGTGGACCTGAAGTGGACACCTACTTAGAGCTGTCAAATTTAGTTCTGGTACCATCTGTTGTTAGCCATCATAGAGCTTTTAATTCAATTGCTTAATTCAACAGCTCTTAATTTCAGAAATGATTGCTGGATTTCCAGTGAAGTTAATAATAGAGGGCACTGACTACATTAAATCCAGTGAAAAGTGTTCCTGGGTTTTGCTAACATTGCATTTTGAACATACTAAGGCTAGGGTTGGTTTAAACATTCAAGAGATCTTCTACTCTGGTGGGATTATACTTTTCAAAACGTATTCAAGGGCAAGTCAGTGCGCAAGATATAAAGCCCACTGTCACTGGGTGGCCAGCTGCGTCATCTGGCGGTGCAGGTAAGAGTGGTCAGCCCTTCCCAGCACCTCTCACAGACTGATACAGCCTGGGGGATGATTTCACCGGGGGTATAATTCCTGAGAAGTGGGGTCACCTCATAGGTCTAATTTAATGTTGTGGTATGAAATGTGAATTTTATCTTTAAAACTATTTCACACTGTTTATGCCCTAAAATGTATTGACAGTTACGTAATTATTCAGGATTAAGTGAGTACTATTTTAATACAGCTATTAGCATTCTGTCATTACAGTGGGACTATTCCTATTTTAATAGGTACTTCAACTGTATTTTATTCCCCAAAGAGAATTTAAACATTATGTAAATTTACCAATCATGTTTATTAAAAATGTCCACCAATGATAATTTCTAATTCTTCCATAACTAAGAATTACTCATTACATATGTGGATATATGTATATTTCACATTGTGTTTTTAATGAATATCAGGATCATAAAATCAACCCCTATACATATACCCCCACCCTCTTTTATTTAACTCAAAGAACCCTTTAGTGCTGAGCCAGCGTGACTATTGCCTGAGTTTCATGAGTGTTAACATCTCAGGGGACAAGGTGTCTCAAGGAGCCGCTAGACTAGTAACTGAGAAATGGCCCCTAGTCATCCTGTGACACTTTGCAGTTTCTGTACCAGGGTCAGCCAAGTTCTTCAAGCTACATCATAGCTCCACCACCAGCAACAATAACATCACATCACTCCAAGCACTCATTGTGACCCAAGTGCATTGGTTAAATTTTATTTTGTTTTTCTTCTTAGGAATTTAACATGATTTGGTGAATACTATTGGCAGCGCTAGCTTGTGACCACAGTGTGAT